GGTGGAACCACTGAGCTAAATCCCCAGCCCAAAACCAATATTTCTGACAATGTGTGAGAGTAAAAAGAATAGAATAGTAAAGAGAAAATAATAGAGGATAAAATGAACTGCCCAAGTTCCCATGGCCCATAAAGTGATACAAGTTCTCTTAGAGGTTTTCTGAACTAGTCTTTTTATTATTTACCAGCCTTTGCCTGAAATAAGTGTGCCAACACCGGGAATACAAAAATATTTCCATACTATAAAATGCTACCACTTATCTGTTGTGATACTGAAATGGACTGGTATGAAGGAATTGCCCATTACCTGTCGGTATGAAGTATGCTATGAGACTTTTTTCCCCCAGGACTTGCCCCTCCTTTGATTTCTACAGAGCACTTATTGTGCAGTTTGCTGGGTATTGGAGTTCCACGTGTGAATGAGGAGCTACCTGAGGCCGTGGGGGTGGAGTCTTCCTCATATTCTTTTTTTTTTTTCGGTGCTGGGGATTGAACTCAGGACCTCGTGCTTATGAGGCAGGCATGGTGTCACTGAGCTAAATCCCCGGCCCACTCATAGTCTTTTTGTTGACCTGACTTTGCCTCCACCAGTGAGATAGCTGACAGAGCAGGAAGGTAGGACCTTCATTTCCTTTCTCTGGACCAAGAAGAGAAGCCTTAATTAAATTCAGTTAGGAAGAGCTTACAGCTTCAGCACAGCCAAAGAGATGCCAGGTTTCTTTTTCCCTTTAAGAAGTAATTTTTTCTATTGACTTCCGAAAACAATTTGATCAACATCTGGCTTTCCCCTTGAACTGAGGCTGTTTACGGAGGAGTAGACTCCCCCTAACTCTGAAATAATGGCTCTTTTCTTCGGAAATAGGTGTCAAGGCATGCAGCAAATCAAATTTTCAAGCAGCTGTTATAAACTTGAGGACTTTCCACTTCTTTTTATGATTTTACCTAGAAATTCTTTTGTGAGGCTTCTGATTTCACAGTTTGGAATTTGATTTTTCCTTGGAATACTTATGACCACTCTTAAAATTTTTACTGCCCCACCCTTGTCCTCTATGTCACTATCATTTCAATGTGGAAATGTATTTTTTAAATTGACTCATAATAGTTGTACAGCTATTTATTTATTTTGAAACAGGGTCTTGCTCTGTAGTTCAGGCTGGCCTTGTACCTACTATGTAGCCCAGGCTGGCCTTGAACTTGCAGTGAGTGATTCTTCTGCCTCAGTCTCCCAAGTGCTGGGATTAGAGGTGTTCGCCACCATGCCCTGCTTAGTCATACATGTTTATAGGCCACAATGTAGTGTGTATTTTGGTAAATGTGTATGATCATCGAAGTAAGATAATTCTATCCATTGCATCAAATATTTATCATTTATTTGTATTGAGAAAATTCAATATCCTTTCTTTTACCTATTATGATGAATTTATAGCTATATCATTAAAATATACTATACAATATAATAGTATAATATTTTAAAAAATAATAATCTACTATTGATTATTTTTTATTTCAGTGAAAAGTAATTTGTAAACATGAAGAATTTAGGACCATACTGAATTCTTTCACATTAAACATTTTTATTAGGAAGACAGAACGAGAAACTGAGCTAAGAGGCATTAATATTATGCCCATTTTGAAACACTTATGATGAAATGCTTATGTGTATGTAGGAGAGATTTATTATCCCACTTTACAGATGAAGAAATCAAGGGTAATAAAGTTCAATAAATCCAAGATCATGCTATCAGAAAACAGTGAAACCATGATTCAAACCCAGTTCTGATCTAATTTCTACCTTACCATGCATTCAAGTCTCTCTGAGTCTATGTGTAGAATTTTATAGTGGGGTTGTCTAGCCAGAATACACTTACTAGATTCTATAATTACTAGCTTCTAGGACTTGGCCCTTTACTTAGTTTTATGTGTCGGAATTTCCTAGTCTGTTGAATGGAGAAAATAAAAATGTTTACCTCAAAAACTTTGATAAGGAGTCACTGACTTAATGCATGGGAAAGAGCTTAGAACAGTGTTGAGCATACAGTAAATGTTCGATGAAATTGTGTTAATTGGTAGTATTAGCTCTTACTCATGGATCATACCAGAGAGATGTCTCAGTTTTGCTTTTACTCATTATTTCATTATAGACAAAAAGATAGTTTTAAATAAATACTTTGTTTTGCTTTTAGTTTTCAGTTTCCATATTTGTACTTGAATTATTTTCCCTACTCTTGTCCGTTGATTGATTACTTTAGGTGAAGTATAGAGTACATCTTGGTAAGATTGTTTATAATCTTTGTTTCACCAGGAAACCTTTTTTAGCAATATAGATAGAAACAGTGCTGCTTTCACTGCAGTGGAGGGTAGTGACTGATTCCTGGCCCTAAATCTGTCCCTATCTTTTATTATCCATGGGGAACCCTGCATGTCTACCTGACACAGGCTGAAAGTTACCAATCCACAAATGCTCAACAATACACACCGAACAGTAAGAGACAAGTACTATTCTCAATTTATGTGGTCGACCTGTGTCTTGTTCTTCCTTCCGATCTCAAACTCCCTCCTCTCAGTCCCCATTCCACAGCGACTGGTGACTGTTCTGTTTAACTGGCAGGGTCTCCAGTTCCGCACCAGTGAGTTGGAAGAGATGGGAGCCATGTTCTGCTTGGGCCTCCTCATCCTGGAGCTCAAATCTGTAAGCTGCAGCCATCAGCTCCTGACTCAAGCTGCAGCTCTGCTGAATGCTGAGGAAGACACTCTGGACCACCACCTCCAGCGGTAAGACACTTACTAAGGGGCTGGGGATTTAGCTCAGTGGTGCCACCGCTTGCCTCACAAGTGCAAGGTCCTGAGTTCGATCCCCAGTAAAAAAAAAAAAAAAAAAAAAAAAAAATGGTCACTGGGGCCTGGCAAATTTGGACCTTTGTGCTACCATTGTAGCATTTCTTGGCAGTGCAAGCTAGGTGAGTCAACGAGGTCTTTGCCAGACAAAAAGTATGGAAGAGCTGCGGAATGAAAGTAGGTTCAGTTGTGCTCTCTGGAAAGCCAGATCAGGATACATTTTACTTTCTGCTGAAGACAAGGACATGCTGCCTGCTTGTACTAATCATGTATTTTTAAATAATGTGTTATTTATAGATATTATAATAAGATGGATCATGTTGGCACACATACACATTTATTTGCAAGTTATGTGTTTATATAAGTACAGATAGGATTTTGAGCTATTATACAGTTAAAAATGACAGTATCACTGCAAATATCTAGGCATCTGGGGATAAGAAATGTTTTAATCATCCTATTCTCAAACAGGATTGTACACTTCCTTCTCAGAAACTGAGGAGAAGCATCAGGAGATGATTAACTGTTGGCTCAGAGAGCCTGAGCACATGGCAGGGAAAGGCTGGGGCTCTGAGAACTGTGAGGATCACTGGTGAGTCAAGGGATGGAGAAGCATTCTCCAAATAAACCATATGATGATGCCTTTACCATAAACAAATATTTTAGGCTTGACACAAACAAATTCAAGGGCTAAGAGGGAAGAAGTAATGGCCTTGTGGGAGGAGAGAGAATCCGGAGAGGCCAGAGGAATCAAAGAAGTCTAACCCATCACCTCTACTTTGAGCACCAGGACTGAGAGAGAATTCAGTGTCTGCTGGTAACCAAGGAGGCAGCTTATCATGTGCTTCACATTCAGAAGCAGAGAGAGCACACCATCAATACCAAGGCCAGTTTATTTCTGGCTCATTTTCAATAATTTTTCTCCTGCCACTGTTAGGCTGCTATTCCCATTTAACTTCCCACCAAATGAGCAGTTGAGCCTAGGAAGATCTAACAGTTACATTAATACTGCTTAGGAAGGCCCTGGTTTCTCCGAGAATTAATTACCTAAATGTAGTAATTAATTGCTCATCACAACAGGCTATAGATCATAGACTACGGACTTATGTAAATCTGACCTCCTTCCTCCCTAGAGATGCTGTTGCTGATTTCCTTGTTACCCCCGCCCTATGGTGAAGATTGAACATTGAACCTAGGGATACACTACCACAGCTACATCCCCAGCCCTTTTCAATTTTCCTTGAGATAGGTTCTCACTAAGTCAATAAATTGCCCAGGCTGAGCATGAACTTGTGATTCTCCTGCCTCAGTTTCCCGGATAGCTGAGATTTTAGATGTGCATCATCACATTCAGCTGACTTCTTTAGTTTTGACATCACAACCACGTCTATCTGCCCCTTCTCCATTCAACGCCCCTCACTCTCTGAAGGCTTGGTGTGTTTGGCATTGTCATGGTGTTTTCAGACTCTCTAACAGCAAGTGCCTCCACCTCCCAGGATATATATTTCAGGGGGTCTTTTCATCTTTTCCTCTGCGAAATTGTCTTGGGTGCTGGCACATCTGAATTTCCATTCTTTGCTTTTTTCCTCTCTCTCCTCCACTGCTCATTGAGGGAAGATTGAGCAGAATTGGCATTGCTTGCTTTCCCTGAATTGATTGTGCCCATCTGTTTGATCCAATGCAGTGAGGATTAGTTGCTTGTAAACTGGAACAAGAAGAGATCTATCAAAGAAATGTCTTTTCTAATTCAAGTCTAAAGAATTCAGTGTCAGGCTTCAACTACAGTGGCTGCTATGTGGGTTATCATAAGAAGACAGTTTTATCTGTCCCTACCCTAGCATCCCACTCAACTCTCAATTTTTCAGGTACAGTCAGTCCAAGGACACTGAGACTAGAGATCCTGTCATGACCTCTAAGGGCAGCATAACTGGAAATAGGACGTCATTAATATGTTTGTTTTGAATAGATGCAAATGGAATGTAGGATGCATAGAGTTTGGTGTAAGGGAGAAAGAGAGAAATTATTTTTTGCAGATTTGTATCACAATATATTTTCCTAATCATTATGAAACAATTGACCAAAACAAATTTTAGTTCCTGCTTAGAGGATCTTAAGACTACATTGTTGAGAAGAAAGATCACCTTGAATATTTCTTGATCATAAAAATATGAGCCAATGAATTTATACTCATTAAAAGAGAACAGAAGGGAAATTAATAAAATCAAATCTATTAACTTGATACCAGCAACAGGCTGCTTGAATCTATTTGCTCAGTTTCCAATGAATAGAGTTAAATGCTGAAATACAATAATCAGCAGATCAGATCTCAGGAATTTAATGAGCATCAGGATTCTTATTAAAATACAGAGCATAACTAATGTTGGTCAGTACTTTAACTCTCCATATGTTTTAGAGAGGCCTTTGCCACCCACCCTCTTTTGTCTCTTGCCTCTCCCTTCAGCATAACAGGGTTTCTCCTCTTTCAGAAAGATTCTGTTTTGTTGTTGAAGGAATTACTAGAGAAAAGGTGTGTGAGTATGGGGGAGTAGGTGGTGGGGACTCCCCTCTAAGGCATAAATGCAAGCATATGTACATATCTGAGTCTCCCAGGGTGTGCAGACAGCAGCAACCCTGAGAGTGACCTGCTGGGAAGACAAAATGTGTGTGCGCGCTGTGGACATCATGTTTTCTGACAATAGGTTTCATGCCTCATTTACCATAAAAACAATTAGAGTGTAGTCAACATCCACAGAGGAACTTACCATTTTTCATGAGCAGAACCGGTGGATGTTTGCCCAGTGAAATGAAGTACAAGCTCTCTGCTTTGGGTTTTCTTTTAAATAGTCCTCTTCTTCCCTGCTGCTCATTTGAGAAATGTCTACAGACACGTTACAGCATATTTTCATCTTCGTTCCTTTCCTCTTCTTTTCTCCTTCCTTTCAATCTTATCCCTGGAATGTGTGCACTGCAGGAATGCTAAGCTGCTGCTTCTGGGGGTGTCGTTTATCCAGTGTGATGGGTCTTTTGCAAAGTCATTTAATGGTTTTGCCGAGTCAGCTCCTGTTCATCTCGATTTGTGTCCCTCCATTGCCTCTCCCGCTTCTCAGCCAAGCAGCCCTCTCTCCATGTGTCCCTCCATTAGTAATAAGAGAAAGTGCAGATCTCAGTGTTGCACTGCAGTAATAGCTCGGTATCCCATGTATTTTCCCAAATTACAGAGTTGGTGCTTGTCTGGGCTCCCCTGGACATCTACATAGGCTAGCGTGTTTGGTTGTCTTTGGTTTTGATGGGACAACAATAAAAAAAACACCAAAATTTCACATAAACCTTAGAGAAAACACATGCAATTTTTAAATTAAAAAGATGATTGTTTTAATTTTTTAAAAATGCAGTTTTATTCTTCTAAATGAGTAAATAGTATTTGGAAGACGTACAAAGAAAGCACCCATATTCTAATTATCCAGGTAACCACTGTCAAGATTTATGATTTATTTACATAGTTTAATTTGTTTCACACTTTTTATTATTGAATCATTTTGCATTTTAGAACGATACACCCTTTATCATTGTTTAGTATTGTCACATACGTGATGTAATGCCACTATGTAAGTAGAATATATGTGTGTATACCTTGGTATACTTTTAGTTTTATATTCTGTTCCATTTTCTGCCTGCTAGGAGTACATAGTTTTTAATATTACATCCTTTTTACTTAGATATATGACATTGCAAGCATTACCTCATTTGTAATTGTTTAAAAATGTGCTTTCCTACATTCTCTTTATTTTCACTGATGACTTCTATGAGTTGTTAACTGTCAATCTTGACCCATTGGGATTTTTATTTTAGTTGTATTAAAATGATATAATCTCTGGCCTATTGGCCATTTACTCATACTACTTTTTCAAAATTGCACTTTTTCTGCACTTATTCAGGTCTTTGATGTTCAATAAGTGTTTTAGGGATTCTTTCTGGATCTTTTCTTAATAATGCATCAAAAACTTTAATGTTGTGAATTTTCTTGTTTACTGAGGAAAAAAAATGTCTTTTCATTATATGTTTCTAAATTGTTGTCTTAGTTTTATAGAGAATTTTTGGATTCATTTTATATTTATTAGTAACTTCACTGAATTCTTTGGTCATACCTGAAATTTTTTCCATGGATTTTTCTATGTATTTTTTTCCTTTCAATGCATTTACAATTTTTGAAAATTCTTCACCTTTTTTTATCATATTTATGACTTTGGCTAGGCTTTTGAGAATAATATTTAAGGATTATTATTCCATGACCATCCTCTCTAAGAACCTAACTTCAAAATAAGAATGACTCTCAGTGTCTGACAATTAAATGAAATGCCTGCTGGCTTGATATTCATGTTCAGTATCTTCTTTATTCATTATTATTTTTTCTTAGATTATTAATTTAATTAAATAAGAATGGATGATGTTTTTATTGAAACAAATAGATGTCTAGAAGAAATGGTTATTTTTTTCTGTTAAGAACAACTTCAGTTATGTTAGTAGATTTCCTGATATTCAGCTATATTTGAATTTTGAAGAAAAAGATATTTGGCTGTGATCTGAAAGATTACTTTGACACAGAGGTTAATGTTACATGCTGGGGATTGAGTTTTATGCCTGTAATTACAAGTGAGAGAGGTCTGGGCTTGGTCTCTATCATTCTGTGATTTGGATGGAAACCTTTAAACTCTCAAAATCATATCTGTCCTGTTTATTTGAAACAAAAATATAATTTTTCTACTTTTTATTTTACGTGTAAGAATGATTCATGACACTTAAATTATCTGATAATCATATTCAGGTCTTTTAAAATTCAGTTTTATGTTTACTTGTATTTCTCATTCTAACCATTGTACACAGTCAGGTTCTCATTCTTGTTTCTCATCTCACATTTTGCCACAGAGGACCTTAGTAAA